TGCACCAACAAATTAGAAAAGAAAAATGAGCTGTGAAGGAGAATGGAAAAAAACAGAAATAATGATAGGAAGAAATTCAGGATAATGTAAGATGGTAGAAATTAAGCTGTAAAGACTTTCATAAGTTGACGATTTATATGCAGAAGAGAACTTGAGTTAAATCAAGTCTGAAGTTTGTTTAATTATTGAAACAAGAGGGAGTCTAGTGGTGATGTTGATTAGAGTAGTTTAAATGATGCAAACATCACATGAGTTGATGTATAAGTGGCTAATAAGACAGAGAAGACAATTGTCAAGGAGATAAAATTTAAGAGAGAATGTTGAAGTATGTTTGAGAAATTGCTAAACCTTGTTAAACCTGATATTGCTAAATGATATTTATAATGGGTGGTAGTGTGTATTTCAAGCTGAAATAGGCTGACCCAAAACATTAAAAAATCAAGATGTTGCTCTTCAGCTCTATAGATATACTTCAACTGTTCCCTTATTTGTCTGTTACAAATTTTGAAGTAAATATATACAACGAGGAGTGAAAATACATCATTGTCAAATGTGTTTAGAAAGAAATAGTGGAAAAACATAAATAAGAAAAAATTCAGTATCAAAGCTCTGGTCTTAACTATAATGCTTTGATAGGAAAAGGGCTCTCAAAATCTAGTGAAAAGTGAAACTATAGATGTACTACAGTTTTGTAATCCTCTCATTTGCTGATGGGCACTTAGGCTGTTTCAAAATCTAGCTATTGTAAGTTGTGCTGCTATGAACATAGGAGTACATGTATGTTTTCTTATTGGTGCTTCTGATTTCTTGGGATATATTCCTAGAAGTGGGATTATTGGGTCAAATGTGAGTTCCATATTTAATTTTTTGAGGAAACAAAGCAGATAGTAGGGTTTTCCCTGTCAAAGGAATTTAAAAGGAAATTATTTAACCAGAGTATATAATTCCAGATTTTTGCTTGTACGCTGGGGGAAAATTTCTTTGGAGCACTTGGATATCCTAAAAAGCATAAACATGTGTAACATAGATATTCTAACTATTCTAACGGTAGAAGTAAAACGTACCCAAGGGTAACATTAATGATATAAAATACATATATTTGAAATAAATTGTCTGTGAGGAAAACCTCAAAAAGATTGGATTGTAACAGGTTTCAATGAACCTTGAAGAGCATGCATCCAATAAAAATATTTTAAACATACCTCAGAGAAACTTCACTGGATAAGATGAAACAGAATTAACTATGAGATAAGCATTAATTGTCAGTTTAATTGCTAATACACATGTAAATTTTAATGTAAGGATTTTCTTAGCAAAGGCCATTGTTAGTTTCTTTCAGGGACTTTTCTGCTAGAAGCATTTCTGGTGTTAGGAAATAGGGGAAAATCAGAATAGTAGATCCCAAGCAACTTCTAGGAAGTAGGGGGAAGTAAGAATATTACATCCAAATGCAATTTTTAGGACTTGCTTTCATTGATGTTTATAATAAAACTAGTGGCCTGGTGCACAAAAATTTGTGCACTCGGGGAGCATCCCTCAGCCCAGCCTGCCCCCTCTAACAGTCTGGGAGCCCTCACAGGATGTCTTACTGATGTTCCTGTGGGGAGCGGGCCTAAGCCGTAGTCTGGCCTCCCTCTGTGGAAGGCAACTGGCTGATCAGGTATATAGATACCTTCTGAAGGCAGCACAGACTCCTTCCTTATTTCTTTCCTCTGTGGTTGGAGAATAGGGCACTAAAAGATGGAGACAGAACTGTGGTTGGGCCTGGGGCTCTTGTAGGCAGCAGAAAGGAGAGGGCTGGGGAAAGTCTAGACATGGTTTTCTTCAATTGCCCTCCCTTACTCTGGGCCACTCGCTCTGTTCTTTCCTTGTTGTGGTGGACGCTTGGGCCTCGGACTGACAGGAGCCCAGCGATGGTGGAGTTCAGCCCCCTCACAGCTGGAGGAAGATGGCAGAGTAAGAGTTGGTATGAACCAGCGCCTGCTTAGCCAGACTTTCTTAGCTCCCCACCAGGCCCAGGCTGGGCCCCTTCCCCACACCAGGAAGATCCCAGCTGAGGTCCCGTCCCTGCACTCAGTGCTCTCCTCCCTCTTCTACCACTGGGGGAAGAGAGCAGCTCACCTGCTCTAGCAGGCTGAGGCACAGGTGGTGCAGACTAAGGTGCTGGTGGCTGCAACCCTTCTCCCCCTCCCTGAAGTGTGGGGCAGGGTTGCAGCAGCTCACAGCCACCCCTGGGCACTATGCATGGAGAAACTGCTCTCCACTGAGCCACCATCCACCTGGGACCTGTGGGGGTTAGGGTGGCCTCAATGGTTTCTCACTGGCCGGCCACCCCTGCCGCCCAAGGGCTACACATGCCCCACGGGCCTCATTGCCCTCATGAATCGCTATGGTCTGGCCGTCCCATCCTGGGAAGTGGCCATCCTGATTGCCATGGCTCATTCCCCGGTGCAGTTGGGCCTGCCCAGCAAGCATATAGGCAGGAGCTGGGCCTCTAAGGGGAAAGAGGAGGCATGCCAGGCCAGGTCAGAAGTGGGAAACTTGGCGATGTAAACACAGCCCACCCCCACATTGTGCCGGCCCCTCGCACTGCATTCTCAAACCCCTGGGTGTCCCTGCCCAGCACTGTGCTCTTGGGTGGGGTGGGGGTGAGGGACCTGGAGCAGTGGCCTGAAGGCAGCCCTCGCTGGCTTGGAATCACAGTGGTCCATCAGGGAGGGATGCAGGATGCAAAATTCCACCTCTCTAAATCTCTCTCTCTAAATCTCTCTGAGTGGGCCCCGTGTCTCCGGTGGGCATGCAAGGGCTCGGTTGAGGCGATGGGCACCGCTTGCCTTTGCCCAGACCCCGCCCATCCCCAGATCGCATTGGGATGTGTCTCCGTGTCTCCAGTGGGCAGGTGAGGGCTTGGTTGAGGCGATCTGCACTGCTTGCCTTCGCCCCAGCCCCCGCGCATTGGCACCTGTCTCTGGTGGGCAGGCGAGTGCTCAGGCAAGGCAATCCCCACCGCTTGCCTTCACCCCATCCCCTGCCTGCCCCCAGATTGCATTGGGACGTGTCTCCGTGTCTCTAGTGGGCAGGCAAGGGTTTGGGCCGGGCGATCTGCACTGCTTGCCTTCGCTCCAGCCTTCCCCCACCCCTGGGTGCATTGGGACATGTCTCCGGTGGGCGGGCGAGGGCTCGAGTGAGGAGATCTGCACTGCTTGCCTTCACCCCAGCCCCCCCGCATTGGGATGTGTCTCCGGTGGGCCGACGAGGGCTCAGTCCAGGCGATCTGCACCGCTTGCTTTCGCCCCAGCCCCCGCCCACCCCCAGATCGCACACGGGAGTGGGCCTTCTGTCTCTGGTGGGCGAGGGAGGGCTCCGGGCAATGAGCACCACTTGCCTTAGCCCCCGGTAGCACAGGGAGGCCTGGATGATGGCTTGTGCTGTCCTGCCCTGCCTGCAGTATGCAAATTAGCTGCCATCTTTGTTGGCGGTTAACCGCCATTTTGTTGGCAGTTAATTTGCATATTGCCGTGATTAGCCAATGGGAAGCTGTTGGAGATACAGTTAATTTCCACGTTTGTCTATTATTAGATAGTACTAGAGGCCCAGTGCACAAAAATTTGTGCACTCACGGCGGGGGTCTCAGCCCAGCCTGCACCCTCTCCAATATGGGACCCTTGGAGGGATATCTGCCTGTTTAGGCCCGAATGACCACCAGAGGGCAGCTCCTGCATTGAGCATCTGCCCCCTGGTGTTCAGTGTGTGTCATAGTGACCAGTCACTCCCAGTCATTCTGCTGTTAGGGGCAATTTGCATATTACCCTTTTATTATATAGAATAGAGGCCTGGTGCAATGGTGGGGGCCGACTGGTTTGCCCTGAAGTGTGTCCTGGATCAGGGTAGGGGTCCTGCTGGGGTGCCTGGCCAGCCTGGGTGAGGGGCTGATGGCTGTTTGCAGGCTGCCCAAACCCCCTTCAGGGTGGGGGCCCCCACTGGGGTGCCTGGCCAGCCTGGGTGAGGGAGTGATGGCTGTTTTCAGACTGACCAACCCTCTGGTGACTGGAGCTTCCAGGCTTTCCTTTTATAGTTTTGTTTTTTTATTCTCTCCAGCTCCGTGGCAATGGCGACTGGAAGCAGGTATCTGGGGTTTATTTACCTTCTACATTCTTCCATCACATGGGCAAGCAAGCCTCCTGCTCACTCCAGCTCCGTGGCCACAGCCTGCTGAAAGCAGGTATCTGGGTTTTATTTACCTTCTATAATAGAAACTTTGTTGCTTTTGAGTGGAGCTCAGAGCTGGCAGCAGGCTGGCTTCCTTCATCACTGGAGCAAGCAAACCTCCTGCTCGCTCCAGCTCCATAGCCACAGCCTGCTGATAGCAGGTATTGGGGTTTATTTACCTTCTATAATTGAAACTTTGTAGCACTGAGAGGAGCTTAGAGCCGGCCAGGGCAGGCGGGAGGTAAGCCTTCCTGCTTGCTCCAGCTCCGTGGCCAAGGCCCACTGAAAGCAGGTATCTGGGGTTTATTTACCTTCTATAATTGAAACTTTGTTGCTTTGAGTGTAGCTTAAGGCAGGCCGCGGCAGGCGGGGAACCATGGCTTCCTCCATCATTGGAACTAGCAAGCCTCCTGCTCATTCCAGCTCCATGGCTGCCAGCCACCATCTTTGTTGGCAGTTAATTTATATATCTAGCTGATTAGCCCATAGGAGGCCTAGCGAAGATATGGTCAATTACCATGTTTGTCTATTATTAGGTAAGATATGTCAAACAGACACCAATTACAGTCAAATTGTAATTAGAAGCCGCAGTGTAAATATGTGATTTAAATATAAAGTCAGTTTATGTGACACAAACAGGTAATCAAACATTGGCATGTATAAGCTTACTTCCCCACTGAGCTAGAAATAATTCTCTGATTTACTTCTCTTGAGGTTAGAAGATGACCAGGACTCTGGAGTCCTCATATAAAGTCTTATTATTTGAAGCAGAATGGGCAAAATAATCAAGGATGAAAAACCAAACTACAATAACAACCTTCATCTTGCTGGGACTGACTGATAACACTCCACTGAAAATACTGCTGTTTATCTTTCTATTTCTTTCCTACATGTTGAGTATATCTGGAAACCTAACCATCATCACCCTCACTCTCATTGATTCCCACCTAAAAACACCGATGTATCTGTTCCTTCAAAATTTCTCCATCCTAGAAATGTCTTTCACAACTGCCTGCGTTCCAAGATTCCTATATAGCATATTATCTGGGGACAAGTCCATTACCTATAATGCTTGTGCCAGTCAACTCTTGTTTACAGACCTCTTTGCAGTAACGGAATTTTTTCTTCTGGCTGCCATGTCCTATGATCGCTACGTGGCCATCTGCAAACCCCTGCACTACACCACCATCATGAACAGCAGAGTCTGCAAGAACATCATTTTCTCCTGTTGGGTAGCAGCACTGATCATCATTCTCCCACCATTCAGTCTGGGTTTGGGCCTGGAATTCTGTGATTCGAACGTCATTGATCATTTTCTCTGTGATGCAACTCCTATCCTGAAGATCTCTTGCTCAGATACCTGGTTGATAGAACAGATGGTTATCATGTGTGCTGTGTTGACATTCATCATGACCCTCATATGTGTGGTTCTTTCCTACATTTATATCATCAGGACTATTCTAAGATTTCCCTCTGCCCAGCAAAGGAAAAAGGCCTTTTCCACATGTTCTTCCCACATGATTGTGGTTTCCATTACTTATGGAAGCTGCATCTTCATTTATGTCAAACCTTCAGCCAAGGAGAATCCTAACTATTCCATTTTTTACTGCCCATTAACACTACATTCTAAGGTATTTATGCTTACTATCTCGCAGAAATTTCTGTTTTTGCCAAACATTTTGGTTGCTATCCCTGGAAACACGGTAGAACACATTTTTCTATCATATTTTTACATTGTAAGATGTGACTATGTAGCCTATATTATAGTTAACAGAATGGGTGTAAGTGATGTTCACTGTTTCCAGACCTGCTATACACAAATATTCAATTGTTGATCCACCATCCTTTTCTCCACCTGCTGGACAAATGTCCACATTTCAACACCTTTGTAAACTTCATGCTGATAATGAATGATTTTGGTCTTACATCGCTAGTATGGTCTTCACCCAAAGGATAGGGTATCAAAGCAAGTTTGATAAAGCTTCTCCTCTACTTCAACTCCAGTCAGTATCATCTGATTTGACAGGTGAAGTATCACAGCACTATCCCTGCCACTTACTAAGGGAGCAATGCTCAGTTTGTTCTAACGTGGCTACATGAGTACAATTAACACCCATCCTCAAGTATTGTTACAAATACATTCTGTTAACATTTTCTATTATGCTTCTATTTTTAATTTCATTGATTTCAAAGATAAGAAAGGAGATGAAGATAGAGAAACATCAATGATGAGAGATAATTATTGATCAGGTTCCTCCTGCATGCCCCCACTAGGGATGGAGCCCATAACCCTGGCATGAACCCTGTCCAGGAACGGAACTATAACATTTTTGCTCATGGGTCAATGCTCAACCACTCAGCCACACTGGCCAGGCCATACTATTAAATTTTCTGGTATGGACATTATGTCTTGACTATTGGCATACTCCTGCTCAGACAGCCATAAATTCAAACCTGGTCGTGGACAATGATATAAGGAAAAATAATATTAAAAATAATATACACAAGTTTGTAATACCACCCACCCTTCTTCAAATCTCCTGTCTTATAAACCTTTCCAGTGAAGTTTTTCTGTTACTTCCTTTCGGATTCACTCACTATGAGGTAGAATTAGCTAAATAAAATTTTAGCTATTTAATATTTCTTAAATATATTTTTATTGACTTCAGAGAGGAACGGAGAGGGAGAGAGAGATAGAAACACTAATGATGATAAAGAATTATTGATTGGCTGCCTCCTGCACTCCCCCTATTGGGAATCGAGCCTGCAACTGGGCATAGGCCTTTGAGCAGAACTGAACCTGGGATCCTTCAGACCTCAAGCCGAGGCTCTAGCCACTGAGCCAAACCAGCTAGGGCTAGCTATTTAATATTTTTCAATCACTGTTTAAAATAACCAGTGTTTACATTAGCCTTTCCACTTTCTGATGAGTCTATCGCTTTGAGAACATTATGGGGGGAAATGGCTATGTAATATTTTGTTTTTCTAGACATTTTATGTACATTGGTAGAAGTAAAATATGTAATTTTATCAAAAGATGTATACTCACGATACTCCACAAAGATTTGTGCATAAAATATTATTCCCTCTGTCAATCTCTTTCAGATTCCATGAGCTTAAGTGAGGGAATAAATTTAGCCCCCAAGTACAACAATTTGCTATTTTATATCGCAATACCCAATACATCTGAATTCTTACAGGCTAGGACAAATGGAATAAATCTGAAAATGTGTATGTGGAGCTAAACAATTGATATTTCACTATTAATTCTTTGGCAACATCCTAATAAATAATCTATTTTCATATTATTCTGAACAAGTTTTTTTCTGTGGAGGTCATTCCAATGCAAACCTTCAAATAAATACCTTGCAGCCATTTTAATGAAAATGTTTTAAAATGTGCAAAAACATAAATTATTTTAAAAAGTAATGAAGCATTCATACATTAAGAACTATACCCAGGATTTTTATGCAAAAGCTTATGTTTAGTTCCCTGTGTTTAAAAAGCTAAAATATAGAATCTTATGTTTTACTTTTACAAATTGCTCCTATATTTTCAATATACTTATTAAATATGCTCATGGATATACAAAATGTGTGGATGTACATATTCAAAATACTAGCAATAGCTATCTCTATACTATGTATAATTTTACATGTATTTTCTTTTTATTATCAAATTTATTGTTTTACAATTAAAATTATGTATTTACAAAAATTGATAAATAAGGAAAATCACTCCCTATTAATATTAAAAGACTTGTGGTGATGTAGTATGCATATCTCCTGTTTCTGATTCTGATGTCTACATCTGTCCCCAAGAACACAGTCCCCACTGCTGCCCTTAGGACATTTCTTACCCCCACAGTTATCAATAAAGTATATTTATTGGTGACTTTTGAATCAGAGTCACCATGAATATGAGTATTTATTTACTTATTTACAGAAGACTGAGTACACTTTTTAAAGGCATATCTTCAAGTTCTCTAAAAACCGAAAAGAGGTCCTAGACACTCTAGCTTTTTTCTCCCTTTTTTCTATTCCTTTTTTAATTAAATTAATTGGGGTGACAGTGGTTAATAAGATTGTATAGGTTTCAAGTGTACATTTCTATAAAACGTGATCTGTATGTTGGATTGTGTGCCCACCACCCAAAGCCAAATCATGTTCCAACACCATATTCAGCATTTGTCCCTTTGCTACCCCACCCCACCTCCTTTCCCACTGTTAGCCACCATACAGGTGTCTGTGTTTTTCTTTTTTTTTGTTTGTTTGTCTGGTTTGTTCACTTATTGCTTTCAATTTTATATCCCACATACGAGTGAAATCTTACGGTACTTGACTCTGTCTGACTTACTTTGCTTAGCATGATATTTTAAAGATCCATTCATGTTGTCACAAATGGCAGTATTTTATCTTTCCCTTTGCTGGAGTAGTAATCCATGGTGTATATGTACCACATCATCTTTATCCAATCATCTCTCAAAAAATACTTTGGTTGTTTCCATGTTTTGGCCATCATGAATAATGCTTCAATGAACATGGGGTGCACATGTCATTGCAAACAAATGCTTTCAAGTAAGTATTTTCTTTGTTCTATATTATCTACATAAATTATACAATGATGTTTTGTTTCTGAAATCTAAGGTGATGTGATATTTTGTTTAAAATTCTTTAATAAATTACGAAAAGTTATTGTTGTTGTTATTGTTGTCAATCCCCACCTGTGGACATTGATTTTCAAAGAGATTAGAAGGAGAACATACAGAAGGACAAGAGACATATGAAAACATGCTCAATGTCACTAATCATCTGAGAGATGAAAATCAAAACAACAATGAGGTACCATCTCACACCTGTCAGAGTGTCTATCATCAACAAATCAACAAATGAGATGCACTGATGAAGATGCAGAGAAAAAGGAACCTTGTGCACTATTGGTGAGAATGCAGACTGTTGCAGCCACTGTGGAGAATAGTATGGAGTTTCCTCAAAAAACGAAAAATGGAACTCCCATTTGACCCAGTGCTCCCACTTCTAGGAATATATACCAAGAAATCTGAAACACCAATTAGTAAGGATATATGCACCCCTATGTTCATAGCAGCACAATTTACAATAGCTAAGATTTGGAAACAGCCTGAGTACCCACCAGCAGATGAGTGGATTAGAAAACTGTGGTACATCTGCACAATGGAATACTACGCGGCTGTAAAAAAAGAAGGAACTCCTACCATTTGCAACAGCGTGGTTGGGCCTGGAGGAAATTATGCTAAGCAAAATAAGTCAGTTGGAGAAAGATAAATATCACACGATCTCACTCATTTGTGGAATATAATGAACGACATAAACTGATGAACAAAAACAGATCCAGAGACAGAGAAGCATTGATCAGACCATCAAACTCCGGGGCAATGCAGGAGGGTGTGGGGGGAAAGAGGAGAGATCAACCAAAGGACTTATAGGCATGCATATAAGCAAAACCAATGGACAGAGACACTAGGAGTGTGTGTGATTGAATTAGGGGGAGGGGAATGGGCGGATAAGGACACATATGTAATACTTAATCAATAGAGAAAATAAATAAATAAATAAATTAGAAGGGAGAGAAAGAGAGGAATTGGAGGAGAGAGAGGGAAACATCAATGAGAGAGGCACATAGACAGGTTGCCTCCAGCACATACCCTGATCAGGGGTGGGGAGTGAACCTGAATCCCAGGTAAGTGCCCTTGACCAGGAATGGAACCAGAAACCCCTCAGTGCGGACCAACATTCAAACCAGTGAGCCACTCCATGCTGCCTAAGGTAAGGCAAGTAATATTTAACTAATTAAATATACATATTAAAATTAATCGACACCTGCTTATGGATTAGTAAAATTAAAGATATCTCAATGTAGCATGGTTTTTTAACATCCAGAAGCATCCTGTATCAAAATGTTATCCATATCTTAAAATATATCTCTAAAGAGGGAAACACATATATTATAGGTGTGTGTATATATGTGTGTACACAAACATAGGCATACAATTTCCTCAATAAAATGACATGTTTGTTGATGTTCCAATAGTTTCTTCCTCTACTCACTTGTAAATTTAACAAGAATCATCTCTACAAGAGAGCTAGACATGGGGCCCTTACACTTTACTATCAATTAGCTTGCCAAAATTTGACTATTTGTATCTAGGCAGAGAATAAATATGACTCAAAGACAAAATATTTTTGCAATAATGAACGCTGTTCTGCAAACTGTGTGCCCATAGGCAGGGGTGGGCAAACTTTTTGACTCGAGGGCCACAATGGGTTCTTAAACTGGACCGGAGGGCCGGAACAAAAGCATGGATGGAGTTTTGTGTGAACTAATATAAATTCAAAGTAAACATCATTACATAAAAGGGTACAGTCTTTGTTTTTTTTTTAGTTTTACTCATTTCAAACAGGCCGGATCTGGCCCGCGGGCCATAGTTTGCCCAAGGCTGCCATAGAGGAAAGTGAGTTAAGAAGAGATGAACTGAGAAGAGGTTACCAAGCTTCGGTTATATTTTCTTTCTATAACTCAGTATGAGCTTTGTGGTTGATTTTTCTCTGTGGTCTTAAAATACTGCCTTTCAGCCAGGTTGGTATGGCTCAGTAGTAGAATGTCAGCCTATGAATCAGGAGGTCACAGATTCCTGGTCAACGCACATGCCTGGGTTGCAGGCTTAATCAGCAGTGTGGGGTATCAGAGGCAGCCTGATGATTCTCTCTCATCATTGATGTTTCTATCCTCTCTCCCTCTCCCTTCCTCTATGAAGTCAATAAAAATACACTTTAAAAAATAGTAGATGTCGACAAAATGGCGGCAGAATAAATGCACATGTCCTGAGCCTTGTCCTGGGAGCAGATAGAATGAGCAGCTGAAATGAATAAAATCCACCCCGAATTGGCAAAGGAGACTCTGCTGGTGAGACAATTTGCTTCCGGCAAGGGCAGAAGACTTCTGGAGAAAGGTAAAATCAAGGATCTGGGCAGGAGAGCTCTGCCAGACCTCTGAGCCCAGAGGGTCAGAGGGAAACTGCACAGCACTGGGCCACATCCCTTGGGACAGGAACAATTTCAGACTGTGGAAAGGAGGTCCGCAGGACTGCTGTTGGCAGGGGAATCTAGATCTAGGTCCATAATCATGAAAGACTGAGCCCAGAGAGGGTAGCCTGAAGGGCTGACCATATCATGCAATGCCAACTGGAGAGAAGCTTGCAGAGGCACAGTCTTTTCCCTCTCTGTGGCCCGTGCTTTTCTTCACTGAACCTAGTTCATGGGACTTTTTGGATACAGACACTCACCCGTGGCTTGAGGTGCAGGAGAAGGTCCAGACTTGTGGAGTCTGGGGAGAGGAGAGGGTCTGGGAGAAGTGGCAGCGATTCTGGTGCTGAGTCATACCTGAGCTGGGGACCTGGGCAGCCATTTTCTCCTGAAGAGTTAGCTCATCCCTCCAGTCTCTAGGCTACCAATACAGCTACAACCAGACTACATTCTGAATGGTACAAAGTATTAAAAAAAGAAAAATCTGAATAGTCCCTAAGAGTTCAGAGGGATTGGCCTAAATAAAGGCCTTCAGTCCCAGCAATAGGAAACAGAGAAACAGCAGACAGTACTGAAGACTGGGACCTTAAGCCAGCCAAAAGAACGATACTTCACTGTTTCATGTTAATTTTTTTATTTTATTATTATTTTGTTATCTCTTTTTTTCTTTATTTTCATTTTTTTGTTTGTTGCTTTATTTTCTATTTCTTTTCGCATTATCTTTCCATCATTTTATTTTATTTTAAATGCTATTTTTACAGCACTTTTTAAATCAAATTTTTGGTAAATTTATTATTATTATTTTCTTATCATTCTTTTTCTTCTTATCCATTCATCCCCTTTCTACTTACTCTATACTGAACTTATTTCCTCCCCATATTCATCCAATTCTTAACCTTATTTTCTGTATATAAGCTCAGCCTCTATAGATTCTGCCTCCACCCTCTTTACTGGGTGTTTGGTGTTTGCATTTTTTTGGTTTATCTGTTTGTTCTGTGGTATTTTCTCCATATATATTTTCTTCCTTTTTCTTTTCTCTCTTATCTTTTCTCC